GTTAGCCTACTGCAGATCTGGAGAAACGATCCACCTTACCACTATTGTCACGATGAATGGTGGATAGAGGGCAGGATAGACGGTTAGACTGGTAGACTATATTGAACTGTGGTATAGTAAAAGTTAGCGCGTGGAAAACCGTAGTGCATATGGGAAATACCAAAACACCTTGATATAGGGGAGGCGCATTCAAGCAGACGAGGAAAGTTGGCAAGGATGGAAGAAATGTTATAGTAAAACCTGCAAAAGTGTGAATGTAAACCAGGGGAAAACGCACTACCCTCCCCTGTGCCCAATAAAGAAAAGACGCAACCCTCCCCAAAGCAAAAATAAGTTCGACAACCCTCTCCTATTTGAGGTTGGGTTGTCATATAATGGCCTTACAGCATACAGTACCCAAACTCATGATTTTAAAAAGTAAGCTCACCTTTGTTAGATTGTGTTTGAAGGGCGTCTCTATAGCTCTTGATTACTGGTCTATGGTGGTTCTCTTCCCCCATCATCTGTCTTTGCTGCTAGATACTTCAACAATGAATATCTGTTGTAGTACAACAATGTAGCTATGTTCAATGATGTTCAAAACACAGGCGTTTACGGCTACTGTAGTACAACAATGTAGTTATGTTCAATGATGTTCAAACCTCAGGCGTTTACGGCTACTGTAGTACAACAATGTAGTTATGTTCAATTATGTTCAAAACACAGGCGTTTACGGCTACTGTAGTACAACAATGTAGTTATGTTCAATGATGTTCAAACCTCAGGCGTTTACGGCTACTGTAGTACAGCAATGTAGTTATGTTCAATGATGTTCAAATCTCAGGCGTTTACGGCTACTGTAGTACAACAATGTAGTTATGTTCAATGATCAAATCTCAGGCGTTTACGGCTACTGTAGTACAACAATGTAGTTATGTTCAATGATGTTCAAATCTCAGGCGTTTACGGCTATCCTGCTGTCACTAGGCAGACAACATTACAGGCATTGGCTCTCGAGCACTGGCTCATTCTTCTTTTGCTATTTATTAAAGTTATATATTTAAATGCTGCAACATATAAAACAAGAATCAACAAGTACTAATACTTAGCGTAATTGTAGAATAAAGTTTACCAAACAGTGTTCCAGTTGCTCTGCTCAAGTCGATATTTTACTTTCGGTTTCACAGAAATGAAACAATCTAATACTTCCTTGTTGTCCATCCCTTCATGGGAGTGGTTTATTCACATTCTTAACAGCAATAAACCTTCTCAGAAAGATAGTATGATTTCAAGCAGTCGGCTAGCCTAGGTTTTAAATGTCTCTGCGTAAATCCATACAAATGGTTTAGTTTGCAAAATTGTTGTCTTCCCATCTCGTAACTGGAAGTGCCGCTGTCCAATGCTAGCTAGTGCTGAAATCGACGGTACCGCCAAACTCCGTGTGTTTGCGCTTGAACCCATAGAAATAGAATGAACCAGCCATCCGAGGTTCTAATTCCACAAATCTAGCGTTTTTCGTCTTACCTCAGAATTCTAGAGCACAATGTTTGGAAAATCACAACAACAAAAACATCAGGCACAGTTTTATTTCAAGATAGCAAGGTGAGTGGACAAAAGATAAGACACTACTCATAACACCTTAATTTCTACTTCATTTTCTCCGTTTTTACTCCAAATAATCCTGACATTGATGCACAGAATTCCACATAGAATCGGAATAATTTAATAGGATCATTGTATTGATGCCACTATATTGACCACACTTTGGACCTATTCTATCCAGATACAATGCTTCGGTGGGCCCAGTGGTGTGTGCTGAATCTGGTGAGACTGATGCTGTGGCTGTTAGCCCTGGCTGTACTGACTGTCCTGCTAGCCCCTGCCCTGCGGTGGAGCCTGACTGGGGGAGAGCCAGAGGAGGTGTTGACCAAAAGCCTATTTTGTTCAAGAGTATGTCCCAAATGTCCTCTTCTGTCTGTAAAACCCTGATGAAGGCTACACGCTGAAACAAATGTTTTTTTCATAACAAATAATACTTTTTCAATCAACTTCCATTGTCCTCCATGAGTGGCTGAAAAATCCTATTCTCTTTAGGTGTGGACCGGGTGGCAGGAGGGTCTGTCTCTGCTCACCCTGATCATATCCACCCTGCCTGGGATGGCCGTCCTGGCAGTAATCTCTCTGTACCGGGCCAACAGGACGGGTCTGGTTAGGACCATGACGGGTCACATCAGAGAGCGGTGGGTAGAGTGGACTGGGAGGCTGAACTCATACCTATGGGACATTGAGGATATGCTGGAACAGGAGCAGTGCACACCTATTGGAGTGGGTTGCAGCACCAAGAGCAGGTAGGCTATAGCAGTCTTACGGAAGGCCTGTCGGTGCACTATTATTTATATTTTCACGAAACTGGAACACAGTAATTTGCAATTGGATGTACAGTTCACGAATAAAGTCTAAATTTGTTGTTGTTGTTGTATAAATAATGACGAATGTCTTTGGGCAGACGGGAGTTGGACCACCTGGATATGCTCCACAGAGTGGACAAAGGACACCTTGATGACCAGGACGAGATGGTCCAGCGTTTCCTAGACAACGGCATGAAGTTCCGTGGCTACCGCAACTACCTGATGGACACCATGAAGAACTGTGAGGCCCTGGTGAAGAAATGCAGGTGAGATACAAAAAGAGACAGTCGAAGTATTACACAACTTGATCGCATTGCCTGCAGAATAAATGTTTCTAGACCTGTCCAGTCTTCATTGCAACCACAGCCACTATCTTTCAGCTAGTATTAGTACAGCGTCTCATATAAGGTTGCAAAGCTACCGGTAATTTACCAAAGTTACCGGAATCTTTAGTAATTTTGGTAATTAACAGAAAATATATGGCAATCTGTGGTAACTTTGGTAATTTATACTTGGATAACTGTAAAAAATGTATTCATATATAGTATCCATTTTTTATATCTGTGTCCATATTGTCCATGAGTTTCTAGTAAATAGACCATATGTTTTAAGAGAAAATAGCCTAATTCATGAAAAGGCATTATTTTCAATTAACTCTGTAACTCTTCCAACTATTGACTTTTTTCACAACTGCCACCAGTTTGACATCAAAACATTGACAACAAAATATATTGACATAGTAAAATAAAAAAGGTTGTCAAACAAAAATATAAAATATATTTAATGTTGAAACCCTCATGTTAAACACCAATGGTATTAACTAAGTTGATGGTTTATATTTAAGATAATGTTTTACAGCTTTGTCATTACATTTCTATTTTAAAATGATCTTATTCAATTATTTCATAAATTTTACATGTGATAAGGGCAGAGATAATTACAGACACCTGTGATAATCTAAAGTAACCGAAAGGGCCACTTAATGTCTAGTGATAGATTACATAAAATCCTTAAGAGATACCAACATTCTGGTAGTTTACTGGTAAACTTAGAAAGTTTCCAGTAATATACCCTCCCTTTGCAACCCTAGTCTCGTAACTCACCCGTCTGTCTGTCTGTCTGTCTGTCTGTCTGTCTGTCTGTCTGTCTGTCTCTCTGTCTGTCCCCTCAGTGCCAGTGTGACAGAGGAGCAGCCTGAGGGAGACCCAGCTCTGCTGGAGCAGTTGAACCTAGTCGCACACATCCTCCAGCAGGAACAGAAGAACCTGGACATACAGATACGCAACTGGACCTGGGACTGATCTGGTACCGATGGGCATTGGGTTGATGCTTCAGTTATTTTCAAGCCCTTTAACTAAATGGATTGACTAGTCCGATGTGATTCACAGCTAGAGCACCAAATGATTAATACAGTAATGAACTGGAAGTATTAGAGTGAAAGTGTATAGAGATTTATTACCTGCCCATATTTTGCTTTCTAAACAAGACCCCCATTACATAGTAACTACTTCAAAGATAATGCCGATATTTACTTACAGACAGAAACCTACAAAGTCTGCAACACACAACACACACCACACCACACACATATTACAAGTCCTCGCCAACACCTTTATCACAGTTCCTTTAGGTACTGTAGGGCTGTGTCCAGGTGGACTTTGCCCTGTCTTCTCCCTCCATGACCATGGGTGACCTCACTGATCCTCAGGGGACTCAGGTTCAGGTTGAAGATGTGGTTGTAGTTCTGAATCAGACGTCTGGCTTTGTCCTGGTCTATGTAACCTGAAATGGCAAACAGATTCCCCATTCTGTCACATACTGGTAGTGTAGTTCATTAGTGCTGATGGTCTCTTTGAAATTAATGTTTACTGTACTTGAAATAATATCCCCAATTCACTTAGATAAGAAAATCAATATTTATCATCAGAATTATATCAGTGATTATAATTTATTGTTTGAATTTAGTACATGTAACTGCAAGTTGTGTTATGATAGTTCCTTATATTTCAGCCACTTATGAATTTTGACCTATCAACTTTTTTAAACCGTACCAGTGTTCTTGGTGTCACACATGTGCATGGCTCTCTCCATTCTCTGGAACCTTTGGAGCCATCTTTCTGTTTCCATGGGATCCACAGAAGCTGGCGGGAGCTCACTGCAACCCCTGGGGACTCCTGATGTGTGTGACACATGCCCAGACACTGCCTGTCAAAATATCAACAAAGACTTTCAACAAGATTTAGAGAAGAGAACTATAGAGATGCAAGGGCTGACAGTTTATATGTACCGGTATTTCTATAGAGGAGAAGAGATGAGAAGAGAAGAGAATATAAAACCTTAATGTCATCTTGTAGCTCCTTGGGTAACACAACACCACGGAGGAATTGTAGAAGGTCTTTGTAATGCACCTAAAGTATGAGAACAATGTAATGCAATAGATACTAAAGCCTCAGGCTCTCATAGAGTTGCACTGATGTGAATTAAATACAACATTTTATAGTTTATAATCAACTTATTTTACTGTGGGCCTTCTGCTTGCCACTACCTTGAATGCCATGCTGCAGTAATGCTTGAAGTGGTGAACCACAAGTATTTCCTATAAATAACAAGACCTTAAATAAACTCCTTTGTGATGTTTAATTTCAACCCTACCTGATCTGGGTGGTCAGCATCACAGAACGTTAGGAGGAGCTGACGGAATGTTGGTAACTTCAGTGGAACCTCGTGTCTTAGAAACGCCTGAGTGATCTGTGATTGGCTGATGGTCCCTTTGAGGGCAGGGTCAAGTGCAACAACTTCCTCCTGAATGGTCCTCAGGGGTGAAGAAGCCTGCCAGTCAGCCAGCTGCTCACTGATGGCCAATGAGAGACAGTCTTCCTGTTCTTCCTCTGGTAGATCTCTGTATGAGGATGTGGGCTACATAGAAATATATTTATATTGAATGATTCTACTTCTATGGTGGGTATTTTGGTATTTTATAGGATCCCCATTAGCTGTTGCAAAAGCAGCAGCTACTCTTCCTGGGATCCACACAAAACATGAAACATGACATCATTTTTTAAAGGCACATGTAGCCTACATATCAATACATACACACAAACTATCTAGGTCAAATAGGGATAAGGCGTTGTGCCGTGAGGTGTTGCTTTATCTGCTTTTTGAAACCAGGTTTGCTGTTTATTTGAGCAATATGAGATGGAACGGAGTTCCATGCAATAATGGCTCTATGTAGTAGTGTACGTTTCTTGAATTTGTTTTGGATTTGGGGACTGTGAAAAGACCTCTGGTGGCATGTCTGGTGGGGTAAGTGTGTGTGTGTCAGAGACGTGCCGCTCTGTTTTGGGCCAGCTGCAGCTTAACTAGGTCTTTCCTTGCAGCACTGGACCACACGACTGGACAATAATCAAGATTAGACAAAACTAGAGCCTGCAGAACTTGCTTTTTGGAGTGTGGTGTCAAAAAAGCAGTGCATCTCTTTATTACGGACAGACCTCTCCCCATCTTTACAACCATTAATCTATATGTTTTAACCATGATAGTTTACAATCTAAGGTAACGCCAAGTAATTTAGTCTCCTCAACTTGTTCAACAGCCACACCATTCATTACCAGATTCAGCTGAGGTCTAGAACTAGGGAATGATTTGTACCAAATACAATGCTCTTAGTTTTAGAGATGTTCAGGACCAGTTTATTAGTGGCCACCCATTCCAAAACAGACTGCAACTCTTTGTTAAGGGTTTCGGTGACTTCATTAGCTGTGGTTGCTGATGCTTATATGGTTGAATCATCAGCATACATGGACACATGCTTTGTTTAATACCAGTGGCAGGTCATTGGTAAAAATAGAATAGAGTAGAGGGCCTAGAGAGCTGCCCTGTGGTACACCACACTTTACATGTTTGACATTAGAGAAGCTTCCATTAAATAAAACTCTTTGAGTTCTATTAGATAGATAGCTCAGAAACCATGATATGGCAGAGGTTGAAAAGCCATAACACATACGTTTTTTCAACAACAGGTTATGGTCAATAATATCAAAGGCTGCACTGAAATCTAACAGTACAGCTCCCACAATCTTATTATTATCAATTTCTTTCAACCAATCATCAGTCATTTGTGTCAGTGCAGTACATGTTGAGTGCCCTTCCCTATAAGCATGTTGAAAGTCTGTTGTTTATTTGTTTACAGAGAAATAGCATTGTATTTGGTCAAACACAATTTTTTCCAAATGTTTGCTAAGAGCTGGCAGCAAGCCTATAGGTCTACTGTTAGAACCAGTAAAGGCCGCTTTACCATTCTTGGGTAGCAGAACGACTTTGGCTTCCCTCCAGGCCTGACAAAGACTTTCCTCTAGGCTCAGATTAAAGATATGACAGATAGGAGTGGCTATAGAGTCAGCTACCATCCTCAGTAGCCTTCCATCTAAGTTGTCAATGGCAGGAGGTTTATCATTATTGATCGATAACAATAATTTTTCCACCTCTCCCACACTAACTTTACAAAAATCAAAGTTGCAATGCTTTTCTTTCATTATTTGTTTTTTTCTGCATGAATACGATGGCTCACTGTTCATTGTTGGCATTTCCTGCCTAAGTTTGCCCTCTTTGCCAATGAAGTAATCATTAAAATAATTGGCAACATCAAATGGTTTTCTGATGAATAAGCCATCTGATTCGATGAAAGATGGAGTTGAATTTGTCTTTCTACTCATAATTTCATTTAAAGTACTCCAAAGTTTTTTTTTCCATCATTCTTTATATCATTGATCTTGGCTTCATAATACCGTTTCTTCTTCTTTTTGTTGAGTTTAGTCACATAATTTTTCAATTTGCAGTAAGTCAACCAGTCAGATGTGCAGCCAGACTTATTAGCCACTCCTTTTGCCCCATCTCTTTCAACCATACAGTTTTTAAATTCCTCATCAATCCATGGAGCCTTAACAGTTCTAACAGTCAGTTTCCTAACAGGTGCATGTTTATCAATAATTGGAAGAAGCAATTTCATAAATTCATCAAGTGCAGCATCTGGATGCTCCTTATTAATCACATCAGACCAACAAATATTTTTTACATCATCCACATATGAGTCACAGCAAAATCTTTTGGATGATCTCTTATACACTATTTTAGGCCCAGCTGTTTTGGAACTTTGGCTTTCCTGGATATAGCCACTATATTGTGATCACTGCATCCAATGGGTACAGATACAGCTTTAGAACAAAGTTCTAAAGTACTAGTAAAAATGTGATCGATACATGTGGATGATCTTGTTCCTGTAGTGTTTGTAAACACCCTGGTAGGTTGATTAATAACCTGAACCAGATTACAGGCACTGGTGACAGTAAGAAGCTTCCTCTTGAGCGGACAGCTTGATGAAAACCAGTCAATATTCAGGTCCCCAAGAAAGTAGACCTCTCTGTTTACATCACATACATTATCAAGCATTTCACACATATTATTTAAATACTGACTGTTCGCACTTGGTGGCCTATAGCAACACCCCAAAAGAAAAGGCTTTAGATGTGGCAAGTGAACCTGCAACCACACCACTTCAATTTCACTTGATATAAGATCTTCTCTAAGCATTACATGGATATGACTCTGAATATATTGTCACGGATTCTGCCGAGACTGCTCCTCCTCCTGGTTCGGGCAGGCTTCGGCGTTCGCCGTCCCCGGAGTACTAGCTGCCACCGCTCCATGTTTCTTGGTGTGATTGCTTTCGTCTGTCTTTTACACCTGTGTCCGTTTGTGTGCTGATTACTTGTCCTATAAGTTCCTTGTTTTGCTTAGGTTAGATTGTGTGTTGTTTTTCGCCTGTCCGTTGTGCTGCGTGTTTTGTACCTGTTTTCTTGTTTATTTGTTTTACGCACAGTTTGCGTAATTGCTCCCCTCTGTTTATTGTTGAAGCCGTTCTCTGTATTTTTGCCTATTGGTAAACTTCAGTAAACTTTGTTGGACTAGCTTCGGTGTCCTGCGCCTGACTTCTACACACCTTACACCTCAGCCCTTGACAGAACAACACACCCGCATGGAGTCAGCAGGAGCAGTGGCGGCACCCAAGTCGCTGGAGGATCGGATCAGCGATCACGACACCATGATCCGGCAACTTGGGGCCGCCATGAACGAGGTGTCCAACACTCTGCGCCGGTTGGTGACTGGAGAGGTGCCCACGCCTTCTCACACCATCCCATCACCAACGGCCAGTCCTCCTCTCTCAGCACCGGAACCCAGTGGCATACGGCTCTCGCTCCCGAGGGCATATGACGGTTCTGCAGCCGGGTGTCAGGGGTTCCTCCTGCAGGTGGAACTCTACCTGGCTACCATACACCCAGCGCCCTCGGGGTACGAGAGCGTCTCCGCCCTCATCTCCTGTCTATCCGGCAAGGCGTTGGAGTGGGCCAACGCCGAATGGAGGGGAATAGACGCCGCTACCATCACCTACGCGGAGTTCTCCCGCCGCTTCAGGGCTGTCTTCGATCACCCACCTGAGGGGAAGGCGGCGGGGGAGCGTCTGTTCCACCTCCGACAGGGGAAGAGGAGCGCACAGGAGTTCGCCCTGGAGTTCCGGACTCTAGCGGCGGATGCGGGGTGAATGAGAGGGCCCTCATCGACCATTACCGGTGTAGCCTACGAGAGGACGTTCGTCGTGAGCTGTACTGCAGGGACACCAACCTATCCTTCGACCAGTTGGTAGACATCTCCATCCGTCTCGACACCCTGCTGGCTACCCGCGGACGTCCCGAGTGGGGGTCGTCCATTCCACCCTCCAGCACCTCCGAGCCGATTCCCATGGAGCTCGGGGGTGCTGGCGCTAGAGAGAGGAGGAGAGAGAACCCGAGGGGGGCCATCCCCTGCACCAACTGTGGCCGTGGAGGACACACCGCGGCCAGGTGCTGGGGAGGGTCTCCTGGGAGAGGGGACAACAGGTCACGCACTGGGGAGTCATTTCAGGTGAGTAGGCGCCCCACTTACCCAGAGCTCTCTGTTGGTCACATGAGTATACCTGTGAGATTTCCACAGGTGGCACCTCATTCCCAGCATAAGGCGCTAGTAGATTCAGGCGCAGCTGGGAATTTTGTTGATCGTGCATTTTGTTATAAGTTAGGAATTCCCCTTCGGCCGGTAGAAGCCCCCTTTCCTGTTCACGCCCTAGACAGCCGGCCGTTGGGGTCGGGGCTGATCAGAGAAGTCACAGCACCACTTAAGATGACGACGCAGGGGGGTCATGAGGAGACCATTCAGTTTTATCTGATTGACTCTCCTGCGTATCCCGTGGTGCTGGGGCTTCACTGGTTAAGCACCCATGATCCTACCATTGCATGGCAACAGAGGGCTCTTATGGAGTGGTCTGCCCAGTGTGTAGGGAGATGTCTAGGTGTTTCCTTAGGGGCGACCTCGGTAGAGAGTCCGAACCAAGTGCCCGCAATGCGCATTCCCCCTGAGTATGAGGATTTAGCACTTGTGTTCAGTAAAACGAGGGCTACACGGCTACCACCTCATAGACAGGGGGATTGTGCGATAGATCTCCAAACAGGAGCGGCACTTCCGCGGAGCCGTGTGTATCCACTGTCTCAAGAGGAGACAGCGGCTATGGAAACTTACATAGCCGAGTCCTTGGCACAGGGCTACATACGGTCCTCCACTTCCCCGGTTTCCTCGAGTTTCTTCTTTGTGAAGAAGAAGGACGGGGGTTTGCGCCCGTGTATTGACTATCGTAGTCTCAATCAGATCACGGTTAAGTACAGTTACCCTCTTCCACTGATTGCGACTATGACAGAATCATTACGCGGAGCGCAGTTCTTCACAAAGTTGGATCTCAGGAGCGCGTACAATCTGGTACGCATTAGGGAGGGGGATGAATGGAAGACCGCATTTAGCACCACCTCGGGTCATTACGAGTATCTCGTCATGCCATACGGGTTAATGAATGCTCCTTCAGTCTTCCAATCCTTTGTTGACGAGATTTTCCGGGACATGCATGGGCAGGGTGTGGTAGTATACATCGACGACATCCTAGTGTACTCTTCCACACGAGCCGAGCATGTAGCCCTGGTGCGCCGAGTGTTGAGAAGACTGTTGGAGCATGACTTGTATGTCAAGGCAGAGAAATGCCTGTTCTTCCAGGAGTCCGTCTCCTTTTTGGGTTATCGGTTGTCCGCGTCTGGTGTGGAGATAGAGGTAGACCGTGTGTCGGCCGTGCGTAATTGGCAAACTCCAACCACTGTCAAAGAGGTGCAGCAGTTCTTGGGTTTTGCTAATTACTACCGGAGGTTTATCCGGGGCTTTGGACAGGTTGCAGCTCCCATTACGTCCTTGCTAAAGGGGGGTCCGGTGCGGTTGCAGTGGTCAGCTGAGGCGGACAGGGCATTTGCCAAGCTGAAGAACCTGTTCACCTCGGCCCCGGTGCTGGTGCATCCGGATCCCTCTTTACCTTTCCAAGTAGAGGTAGACGCGTCCGAGGCCGGCTTAGGGGCAGTCCTGTCACAACGGTCCGGCACGCCACCTAAGCTCCGCCCCTGTGCGTTCTACTCCAAGAAGCTCAGCTCGGCGGAGCGAAATTATGACGTTGGGGACAGGGAGCTGTTAGCTGTAGTCCAGGCCCTAAAGGTGTGGAGGCATTGGCTTGAGGGGGCTCAACACCCTTTCCTCATTCTGACTGATCACCGTAACCTGGAGTACATCAGGGCAGCTAGGAGATTGAACCCTCGTCAGGCTAGGTGGAACATGTTCCTGACCCGGTTTGTTTTTAAGATCACATACATCCCAGGGTCCCAGAACGGTAAGGCAGACGCCCTGTCCCGGCGGTATGACACAGAGGAGAGGTCCATTGAGCCTACTTCCATACTGCCGGAGTCTTGTTTGGTGGCTCCGGTGGTGTGGGAGGTCGATGCGGAAATCGAGCGGGCACTGCGTACCGACCCTACTCCCCCCGAGTGTCCTGTGGGACGGACGTACGTCCCGCTCGAGGTTCGTGATCGTCTGATTTATTGGGCTCATACATCACCCTCCTCTGGACATCCAGGTATTGGCCGGACAGTGCACTGCCTTAGCGTGAAATATTGGTGGCCAACGTTAGCTAGGGATGTGAGGGTTTATGTCTCCTCCTGCTCGGTGTGCGCCCAGTGTAAGGCGCCTAGACATTTGCCCAGGGGTAAGTTACATCCCCTGCCCGTTCCACAACGACCATGGTCCCACCTATCGGTGGATTTTGTGACCGACCTACCCCCCTCCCAGGGGAATACCACCATTTTGGTCGTTGTGGATCGGTTTTCCAAGGCCTGTCGTCTCCTCCCAATGCCGGGTCTCCCTACTGCCCTACAGACCGCTGAGGCCCTATTTACCCATGTGTTCCGGCACTATGGGGTCCCCGAGGATATTGTGTCTGACCGAGGTCCCCAGTTCACCTCCAGAGTTTGGGGGGCGTTCATGGAACGCTTGGGGGTCTCGGTAAGCCTTACCTCGGGGTACCACCCAGAGAGCAATGGGCAGGTTGAACGTGTCAACCAGGATGTGGGTAGGTTTCTGAGGTCCTATTGCCGGGACCGGCCGGAGGAGTGGTCTAGGTTCATCCCCTGGGCAGAGATGGCCCAGAACTCTCTCCGCCACTCCTCCACCAATTTAACACCTTTCCAGTGTGTTTTAGGTTATCAGCCGGTCCTGGCACCATGGCACGAGAGCCAGATCGAGGCCCCTGCGGTGGACGAGTGGATTCGGCGCTCGGAGGAGACGTGGGACGCTGCCCATGTCCATCTGCAGCGTGCCATCCGTCAACAAAAGGCGAGCGCCGATCGCCACCGCAGTGAGGGACCGGTGTACGCACCGGGAGATCGAGTCTGGCTCTCGACTCGAAACCTGCCCCTCCGCCTGCCCTGCCGGAAGCTGGGTCGGCGGTTTGTGGGGCCCTTTAAAGTCCTGAGAAGGTTGAACGAGGTGTGTTACAGGTTACAACTGCCTATTGAGTACAAGAATATTAACCCCTCGTTCCATGTGTCTCTTCTCAGGCCGGTGGTAGCTGGCCCACTCCAAGAAGATGAGATAGGAGAGACCCCTCCGCCCCCTTTGGACATCGAGGGGGCCCCGGCGTACAGGGTCCGGACCATCTTGGACTCGAGGCGCCGGATGAGTGGTCTCCAGTATCTCGTGGAGTGGGAGGGGTACGGTCCGGAGGAACGGTGCTGGGTGCCTAGGAGGGACATCCTAGATCCGTCCCTCCTGACTGAGTTCCACCGTGGGCATCCCACGCGCCCGGGTCCGCGTCCTCCTGGCCGTCCCCGAGGCCGGGGTCGGCGCACGGCTGGAGCCGCGCGTCAAGGGGGGGGGTACTGTCACGGATTCTGCCGAGAATGCTCCTCCTCCTGGTTCGGGCAGGCTTCGGCGTTCGCCGTCCCCGGAGTACTAGCTGCCACCGCTCCATGTTTCTTGGTGTGATTGCTTTCGTCTGTCTTTTACACCTGTGTCCGTTTGTGTGCTGATTACTTGTCCTATAAGTTCCTTGTTTTGCTTAGGTTAGATTGTGTGTTGTTTTTCGCCTGTCCGTTGTGCTGCGTGTTTTGTACCTGTTTTCTTGTTTATTTGTTTTACGCACAGTTTGCGTAATTGCTCGCCTCTGTTTATTGTTGAGGCCGTTCTCTGTATTTTTGCCTATTGGTAAACTTCAGTAAACTTTGTTGGACTAGCTTCGGTGTCCTGCGCCTGACTTCTACACACCTTACACCTCAGCCCTTGACATATATACAGCAACACCTCCCCCATAAGCATTTATGTCTCTTCTATAGATGTTATATTCTTGTATTGCTACTGCTGTATCATCAAATTAATTATCTAAGTGAGTCTTAGAAATCAGAATAAGCCCTCATTGAGCTCCACACCAGTAGGATGTGATAATTAAGGTGTCAGTAGAAATAACACAATGCCATACAATCCCGTGTAGCTCAGTTGGTAGAGCATGGCGCTTTGCAATGCCAGGGTTGTGGGTTCGATTCCCACGGGGGACCAGTATGAAAATGTATGCACTCACTTAACTGTAAGTCGCTCTGGATAAGAGCGTCTGCTAAATGACTAAAATGTAATGTAAAATAAAGCATGGGTATCATCTGTTTTATGTATGAAAGTGGTGATCACTGCAGGACACACTGTGCAGACCACATTTTGTTTGAGTAAAATAAAAGTTAAATCAAGTGATCACAGTTAGGCTATAGCTAGGACAAACCTTCTCCTCCTCAGATGCCCTTGCTGCTGTTCCTGCTCTGAGTTCAGTTCTTGTGACAGCTGGGTTCCTCTGATGGATGTAGGACAGGGAACGGTCACCAGAGGGAGCTGTCACACACAGTCTGGTTGGGGCCTGTCAAGTGAACCCAACACTTAGTGTTTTGAGCTTTCCACTAGAAAGATACAGCTCAATGTGCAAAATGTACTGTATACATCAATGAAATCCCTTAACCATAGGGTTCATGTCACCTTTGTCTATCCATCTTGAAATATACTACTCACACAATGTCATATTTTCACATTTATTTTTATTTTTATTGGACATATAAGAGGGCAGATACCATTTTTGAAAATATGTACAATTATATATTTTTCTAAGCTACATGATAATAAAATGCAAACTTAATAACATAACTTAATAACATAAGTATAACCACTATATTATGGTTCAGGGTTTACCTTGTTGAGCGCAGCCTGAAGAGCTGACCCCACACCCCCCTCAGCCTCAGCTTGTCTGTGTGATCTGGCCACTATAGAGTCCTGTTTGTCTGGTGGTTCCTTCATCACATTATCCACAACGTCCAGAGGAATAGCTGCTCCTTTCTCCCTAGTGCACAGTTAAATAAATATGCAACGTGATCCAGTTAAGTCACAGCAAGTGTAAGATGTGGTATTTTGAAGCAGAATTACCATTGAGACTTTACTGCTACTTTAATTGAGATTTCCGTTCCTCACAAGAATGTAAAGTAAAGTATTTATTAATTATATTGTATAGTATTGTATGTTTTTCTATTCTATTCCATTCAGTTCTATTCTATTTTCAGTTATTCCATTCCATCCATTCCATTCTTTTCTATTCTAAGAACACAGCTTGATCTTTGATCGACCTGATTCATCTCACTTGTCTGGCTCTTCTGTGATGAAATACTTGACCTGTTTGCTGCCTATGATCTTGACAACTAGTCTGGGGACTGCTATAGTTCCAGAGGTATTTCTCAGGGCCATGATACAGGTAATGTGATATGTAGCGATCCCCTAGAGAGAGATGGAGGGAGAGGAAAACAGCACAGATTCAATTGGTCAGGATACAGAGCAGAAGAAGGCAGTTAAGGTTTCACAAGAATTCTTCCCGGAAAATTGTAAATTAAATCATTTTACTGTGTGTCCATTGTTCTGAGTAGTAGGATTATTTAACCACCTCTCTTCTACAGAGCAATGTGAAAGATTTTTGGCTATGTTCCATATTGGACACAGGTCTATGCCTCAGAGCCAGCCACTACATATCACAGAGTAAAGAGTTTTACTCACATGAGCAATTAGTCCTTACAAGTCCACACCTTGTAGGCTATAGGTTAACCTTTGAAAGTCACCATGTAGGTTATTTCACCATGAGCTAAGTCCACCATCTCAATCAATCATCAGGTGCTAATGTACTGTACTGTGAAACCCTCTGTGTGAAGGGTGAAGCTAGGTAAACGTCTGGCTTCTGTGCTGTGTATGTTCTTTCTGCACCTTGGTTACCTGCCTCACCCCACCTCTCCCCTGAGCTGCGAGCAGAGTAGCAACATAGGCCCAGTGCTCAGCAGGCTCATAATCATTATGGAAAATGAAAACAAGCCTTTCTTATTGGACAACTTTCTTGTTGGACAGACAGTACCTAAGCATTTCAGCCCGTTTTACTTTTCTTGTTTCGTGCCTAATGAATACGACCCAGAGGAATGTGTGTGTGTGTGTTTGTGTGTCAGATGACTAGCTGGCCTGGCTTGGAGTTATTTAAGCGTACATACTTTGGTGATTTAGGGCAGTGTGTTTTTATTGACTCTGCCTATGTCAGGGCAAAATGATAAAACCATTCGGCTAAAGCATGGGGACGGGGAAAGAGAGAGCAAGATGAACTTGTGGCTCAAAGTCAAATCAACAGGACTGAATGGAGAGAGAGATTACTAAATTTTAAGAGCCATTGCTAATCAGTTCAAATTAATCATTAAATTAAGTGGTGGTGTATTGTCTTGAATCCCATAGAACTTCCATTGGCTTGAACACACCTGTTGAACATAATCTTTTGAGTTTTGTTATGTTAATGTTAATGTTATGTGATAAACAAAAGTTTGTCTTTGTGTATTTGTTTGATTGGAAACAACTGAGTGTGCTGTCCCCATTCTAAAGCCCATTTCAAAGCCCATTCTAGCTTTACCAAAAAGGGAAATCTGTCCTACTACTTGAGCCAGACTAACTGTAAATTCATTAAATCATCATTAATTGGAATGGGTTTCTAATTAAATGTGTGTCCATGATAAGGAAATAGGCCTACCTCTTGATAAGAGGCCTGGATAGAGATAAAGATGGAGCCTAATTGCCTTAATTACTTTATATTCCTTATGGAAAACAGTCTGAATCATTCAAGTTCTTATAACATTGTAATCTTTTGATTGAGTCATTGAGTAAAGCACATACTTTTTTTAGCCATATCTGGCATTTGCCTAGATACACTATACATGGACATGTACAGTACCAGTCAAAAGTTTGGACACACCTACTCATTCAAGGGTTTTTCTTTATTTTTACTATTTTCTACATTGTAGAATAATAGTGAAGACATCAAAACTATGAAATAACACATATGGAATCATGTAGTAACCAAAAAAGTGTTAAACAAATCAAAATATATTTTATATTTGAGATTCTTCAAATAGCCACCCTTTGCCTTGATGACAGCTTTGCACACTCTTGGCATTCTCTCAACCAGCTTCATGAGGTAGTCACCTGGAATGCATTTCAATTAACAGGTGTGCCTTGTTAAAAGTTAATTTGTGGAATTTCTTTCCTTAATGCGTTTGAGCCAATCAGTTGTGTTGTGACAAGGTATTGTTGGTATACAGAAGATAGCCCTATTTGGTAAAAGACCAAGTCCATATTATGGCAAGAACAGCTCAAATAAGCAAAGAGAAACGACAGTCCATCATTACTTTAAGACATGAAGACATGAAGGTCAGTCAATCCGGAAAATTTCAAGAACATTCAAGGAGCTTCATGAAATGGGTTTCCATGGCTGAGCAGCCGCACACAAGCCTAAGATCACCATGCACAATGCCGAGCGTCGGCTATAGTGGTGTAAAGGTCGCCACCATCGGACTCTTGAGCAGTGGAAACGTGTTCTCTGGAGTGATGAATCACGCTTCACCATCTGGCAGTCCAACAGACGAATCTGGGTTTGGCGGATGCCAGGAGAACGCTACCTGCCCGAATGCATAGTGCCAACTGTAAAGTTTGGTGAAGGAGGAATAATGTTCTGGGTCTGTTTTTCATGGTTTGGGCTAGGCCCCTTAGTTCCAGTGAAGGGAAATCTTAACGCTACAGCATACAATGACATTCTAGACTATTCTGTGCTTCCAACTTTGTGGCAACAGTTTGGGGAAGGCCCTTTCCTGTTTCAGCATGACAATGCCCCCGTGCACAAAGCGAGGTCCATACAGAAATGTGTAGACTGAGATCGGTGTTTGGACTGAGATCGGTGTTGAGATCGGTGTTTAAGAACTTGACTGACCTGCACAGAGCCATGATCTCAACCCCATCGAACATCTTTGGTGATGAATTGCAGGCCTAATCGCCCAACATCAGTGCCCGACCTCACTAATGCTCTTGTGGCTGAATGGAAGCAAGCCCCTGCAGCAATGTTCAAACATCTAGTGGAACGCCTTCCCAGAAGAGTGGAGGCTGTTATAACAGCAAAGGGGGGACCAACTCCATATTAATGCCCATGATTTTGGAATGAGATGTTCGACGAGCAGGTGTCCACATACTTTTGGTCATGTAGTGTATATAGCCAGTGGGACATTGCCTGCCTGCTTTGCCTGCCTTTTGTGCTGTTCCCTTGAAGAGAGTGGGGGCCTAGGATACACACTTCTCAATAAAGTCTACTACCCCACTGAGGTCTCCCACTCTGTTTGATGTGCAGGAATTAAACCGTGAACCCACGGTAATGACTGTGGAAATGACTCCTCATTCTTCAGTGCATTGTCAGTCTCTACACGCCCCCGTCCCCCTTTAAACGTCCTAATACGATTGAAGTGTGAAAGTCAAATGGTAAATCCCTGATCTTAATGATCAAACGAGCACTCACAAAAAGGCTGAGCAGGTGTATGCGTGCGGTGCGGTTCGGAAAAGGGAAGAGAGAGTCAGGGGATATCGGACACCAGTTAATTAAGGGCCCGATTACAGACGGCAGAATCCTCAAAGCTACATCTGGGTAGGTGTGGGTAAAGCGTGAAATCACTACCCAAACTGAAAAAGGCAGTCGACGTGAAGTGTTCAACCGCAGACTACTTGAGGAAAAGAGGAAAGACTTGAGGCAAGATGACGCTTTAATCCACTCACTCTCCTACATGCAGCCATGAACTAACTTTTTAGTTAGTTCATGGCTGCATTTTCTCTGTTTACAAACCAAAATATTTCATTTACATTTTTAGCAGACGCTCTTATCCAGAGCGACTTACAGTTAGTGAGTGCATACATTTTCATACTGGCCCCCCGTGGGAAACGAACCCACAACCCTGGCATTGCAAGCGCCATGCTCTACCAACTGAGCTACCCATAACTAAAATATCATGTAGTTGCATTAGATGTTACAATACCATGTATGTCACGTAGTCATCTCCAGATAAAAAACAACTTTACAGATACCTTGAGGGACCATTAAATCAAACCTAGTAGGTAAGATCAAACAGTAATGTGACATATAACTGTAGACCAAAACCATCAACTAAAATGACCTACCGTTATAAGTAAAACGCATAAATGACAGTGTTTAACTATATTTAATGATACTGGATTTGATTGAACTGTGGATCCAATGTAGGGTTGGACATGCATGTGGTAATGAATCAAAAACTGAAGCAACTTGATAAAACAATTCTAGGTAGACTTATAGTATGTTCAGCAGGAGACACTGCACTAGACAGGAAGGAAGGATATTATGACAGGAGACACTGCACTAGACAGGAAGGAAGCATGTTATGACAGGAGACACTGCACTAGACAGGAAGGAAGGATGTTATGACAGGAGACACTGCACTAGACAGGAAGAAAGGATGTTATGACAGGAGACACTGCACTAGACAGGAAGGAAGGATGTTATGACAGGAGACACTGCACTAGACAGGAAGGAAGGATGTTATGACAGGAGACACTGCACTAGACAGGAAGAAAGGATGTTATGACAGGAGACACTGCACTAGACAGGAAGGAAGGATGTTATGACAGGAGACACTGCACTAGACAGGAAGGAAGGATGTTATGACAGGAGACACTGCACTAGACAGGAAGGAAGGATGTTATGACAGGAGACACTGCACTAGACAGGAAGGAAGGATGTTATGACAGGAGACACTGCACTAGACAGGAAGGAAGGATGTTATGACAGGAGACACTGCACTAGACAGGAAGGAAGGATGTTATGACAGGAGACACTGCACTAGATAGGAAGGAAGGATGTTATGACAGGAGACACTGCACTAGACAGGAAGAAAGGATGTTATGACAGGAGACACTGCACTAGACAGGAAGGAAGGATGTTATGACAGGAGACACTGCACTAGATAGGAAGGAAGGATGTTATGACAGGAGACACTGCACTAGACAGGAAGGAAGGATGTTATGACAGGAGACACTGCACTAGATAGGAAGGAAGGATGTTATGACAGGAGACACTGCACTAGACAGGAAGAAAGGATGCTATGACAGGAGACACTGCACTAGACAGGAAGGAAGGATGTTATGACAGGAGAGTCACTGAGCCATGACTTCATAAAGTTAACTGAAAGTAGATGGTGTTTTGACATTCTGCTGACTTCTATAATCTCATACCAAATTGTAGATTTTTAAAGACCATTATTCCCTCATTCTTGTTGACATGTGATCCTGAAGGAACAGCCTTGTTTTATCATATGGAGTTCAAATTGTGCCCCCAAAAAGTGTCTAAGTGAACGATAAGACAATGATGACATGGGGTTGTGAATGATACAAAGTACACTGTAAAACTTTTCTGTCATTTCAACAGTAAAACACTGTAGGATGCACAGTATAATACCATACATGTGTCTTACAGCATTCATGCTGTAGATTGCACTGCATTATGGGTAAAATGCTGAAAAATATTCTTATTAACTGTAATTCGGAAGCCTCCTGTAAAAAATTACTTGAACATACTATTTCTTTACAGTAATAGCTTATGCCTTTCAAGCGCCAACCTCATGCTGTCAGGTGAGACACAAGCTCAGACTGTTTTAGTAACTATCTTCTTGAAGCCGCTGTGAAATGGAAGAATATCTTCAGCAGCTGCTGGGTAGGTACCTTGACTTGTTTATAAGTATATTGATTGCTAGCCAATGTTGAATTACTGCATGTTTCCTTTCCATGCTGAAATTGACAAAAGCCATTTCGGATATCTAGCTGTGCGACCTAGAAAAACATCACCCAGAGAATAATGATTGTGATTATAGGTTGTATTGCAGCCCATGAGTGCCATAGAAATACACTGAGCACAGATTCGTGACCGTTATGTTTCCACCATTACTACAGAGAAAATGGCTTGTTTCTAGCAGTTCAAAAGATGACCCATATTTTTGGGGATTTATGGGCCGCATCTTACACATAAACCACGTTGTGGGCCGTACTCGCGAGCTGCTAAAGCCGATGTGAATGACCAGTGCATCATGTTGTAATGAGGTGCCTGCCAACCAGTGTCGGCGGTGGAAGTTAGCAACGTGGCACATTTTTTCCCTCCCAGGATGATACAGTATTTCAAGTAGGATAGCAGCCTACACAAGAAATAACTAATATTGGGAGCCATCTAGATGTCACCGTGATATATTTTACTCAATGGGGAGAGCATAGATGGCTAAAACACCGGGAAAGTGTCCTCCTTAGCTGTCACTTGGCTCTCATCTGGCTACAGAAGTCATCATTTTGGAGGCCAGGATTGTCCATATAGCCTGTCCCACATAGCCGCGGGAAGTAGGGGTGCTGAGGGTGCTGCAGCAGCCCCTGAAAAATCAGAATCATAAAAATAAAAAAATATTCACAAATATAATGCACTGGGCCTTTAATAGTCCTTTATTAGCGGACCAATATAGCCGTCTGCAGCGCGGGCAAAGCGTTTTTCCAGCACCCCCACCCCCAAACTGCTTCCTGCGGCTATGCTCTCCCACTATCCATTTGTTTAATTTAAACAACATTGTTCCATAATCATACAGTATTAGCTAAACCTGTTCACTTTACCAGTAGTATGCAAACATTTGGTGGCACAGCTAGAAAGGAACATGTTGTGAGTCTGGTAAAATAATCTGTGATATTGTGTAGCCTATACCAATGTTGTATTAGTTAGCTAGGGTTTGAAGTAGGTGTATCTAGCTGTCTTATTTGTATTTGTTCAATGCCTCAATTGATTTCATAAACTATAATGGATATATGTTGTAGGTTCGAATCAACCCAAGATGATGAATCCTGAAGAAGTGCATGACAAGGTGGCACAGAGGAAGCCTTGCCCCATTCTTCCAAGAGCTCACTAAGTTTGAATGAAGACCTCTAGTGAGGTAAGTACACATACACACACACACACAACATCAGCTTAATATGTCCCTTGTCCCCCTGTCTTTTTACCTCCACAGTAACAGCCCTGGTACTGTCTCTCATTCTATTCTTTATTTTTCTATGCTTGTCCTAGGCGTGAGAAGAGCTGACCAATCAGAACTGAGGAGGATTGTTACGGAGCCCCATAAGGAACACCTGATGCTGTGCTGACTTCTCTCTCCTGGATGCTCTGGGCCCTAACTGTCCTGTTGTGTGTTTCACCGCCTCTGGACCCCCTTACCCCAAACAGAGTTGCCCCTGATCATAGATCGGGCTGCATCACAACCTGGTACAGCAACTCCACCACTGCAGACCGCAAGGCACTTCAGAGGGGGATACTTGCAGCCGAACGCACCATTGGGTGCACACTGCTTGCCTTCCAGGACACCTACAACACCAGGTGTCACAGGAAGGCCAATACGATCATCAGGGACCCCAGCCACCAGAGCCATGGCCTGTTCTCCCTGTTTCAATTACTCAGGACAGCACAGGAGCATTATGGCAGAAAACTGGAAGACTGGCCAATAATTTCTACCCCCAGACCATCAGGCTGCTGAATAGCCACCACTAGTCGGCTGCCTGCTTTTTATTGTTTTATTTCAATTGGTCCCCACACCCCCTCAATGGTAATTTAATCTGACTGCTGCTCCCCCTATGGTCAATGTCCACCCCAATGGACATTTATTTATTCATCACTGCTACAGTTGTTACTATGTATACAGTGAGGGAAAAAAGTATTTGATCCCCTGCTGATTTTGTATGTTTGCCCACTGACAAAGAAATGATCAGTCTATAATTTTAATGGTAAGTTTATTTGAACAGTGAGAGACAGAATAACAACAAAAAAATCCAGAAAAACGCATGTCAAAAATGTTATAAATTGATTTGCATTTTAATGAGGGAAATAAGTATTTGACCACTCTGCAAAATATGACTTAGTACTTTATGGCAAAACCCTTGTTGGCAATCACAGAGGTCAGACGTTTCTTGTAGTTGGCCACCAGGTTTGCACACATCTCAGGAGGGATTTTGTCCCACTCGTCTTTGCAGATCTTCTCCAAGTCATTAAGGTTTCGAGCCTGACGTTTGGCAACTCAAACCTTCAGCTCCCTCCACAGATTTTCTATGGGATTAAGGTCTGGAGACTGGCTAGGCCACTCCAGGACCTTAATTTGCTTCTTCTTGAGCCACTTCTTTGTTGCCTTGGCCGTGTGTTTGGGTCATTGTCATGCTGGAATACCCATCCACGACCCATTTTCAATGCCCTGGCTGAGGGAAGGAGGTTCTCACCCAAGATTTGACGGTACATGGCGCCGTCCATCGTCCCTTTGATGCGGTTAAGTTGTCCTGTCCCCTTAGCAGAAAAACACCCCCAAAGCATAATGTTTCCAACTCCATGTTTGACGGTGGGGATGGTGTTCTTGGGGTCATAGGCAGCATTCCTCTTCCTCCAAACACGGCGAGTTGAGTTGATGCCAAAGAGCTCGATTTTGGTCTCATCTGACCACAACACTTTCACCCAGTTCTCCTCTGAATCATTCAGATGTTCATTGCAAACTTCAGACGGGCCAGTATATGTGCTTTCTTGAGCAGGGGGACCTTGCGGGCTCTGCAGGATTTCAGTCCTTCACGGCGTAGTGTGTTACCAATTGTTTTCTTGGTGACTATGGTCCCAGCTGCCTTGAGATCATTGACAAGATCCTCCCGTGTAGTTCTGGGCTGATTCCTCACCGTTCTCATGATCATTGCAACTCCACGAGGTGAGATCTTGCATGGAGCCCCAGGCCGAGGGAGATTGACGGTTATTTTGTGTTTCTTCCATTTGCAAATAATCGCACCAACTGTTGTCACCTTCTCACCAAGCTGCTTGGCGATGGTCTTGTAGCCCATTCCAGCCTTGTGTAGGTCTACAATCTTGTCCCTGACATCCTTGGAGAGCTCTTTGGTCTTGGCCATGGTGGAGAGTTTGGAATCTGATTGATTGATTGCTTCTGTGGACAGGTGTCTTTTATACAGGTAACAAGCTGAGATTAGGAGCACTCCCTTTAAGAGTGTGCTCCTAATCTCAGCTCGTTACCTGTATAAAAGACACCTGGGAGCCAGAAATCTTTCTGATTGAGAGGGGGTCAAATACTTATTTCCCTCATTAAAATGCAAATCAATTTATAACATTTTTGACATGTGTTTTTCTGTTTTTTTGTTGTTGTTATTCTGTCTCTCACAGTTCAAATAAACCTACCATTAAAATTATAGACTGATCATTTCTTTGTCAGTGGGCAAACGTACAAAATCAGCAGGGGATGAAATACTTTTTTCCCTCACTGTATATAGTACTATTTCTATAGTTTTTATTATGTACATAGTACTATTTCTACAGTTGTTTTTATGTATATAGTACTATTTCTACAGTTGTTGTTATGTATATAGTACTATTTCTACAGTTGTTACTATGTATATAGTACTATTTCTACAGTTGTTATTATGTATATAGTACTATTTCTACAGTTGTTATTATGTATATAGTACTATTTCTACAGTTGTTACTATGTATATAGTACTATTTATACAGTTGTTATTATGTATATAGTACTATTTATACAGTTGTTGTTATGTATATAGTACTATTTCTACAGTTGTTATTATGTATATAGTACTATTTCTACAGTTGTTATTATGTATATAGTACTATTTCTACAGTTGTTATGTATATAGTACTATTTCTACAGTTGTTACTATGTATATAGTACTATTTCTACAGTTGTTATTATGTATATAGTACTATTTCTACAGTTGTTATTATGTATATAGTACTATTTCTACAGTTGTTATTATGTATATAGTACTATTTCTACAGTTGTTACTATGTATATAGTACTATTTATACAGTTGTTATTATGTATATAGTACTATTTCTACAGGTGTTACTATGTATATAGTACTATTTATACAGTTGTTATTATGTATATAGTACTATTTCTACAGTTGTTATTATGTATATAGTACTATTTCTACAGTTGTTACTATGTATATAGTACTATTTCTATTTTTCTTATTACCATTCTCATTGTTTTATTTCACTTAGTCCTGCATGTTGGAGCTCGGAGCTCTGAATCTGAAAATCTAAGATTGAACCCAATCCCAATTTTAACTCCGTCTCCCTCTCTCTCGTTGTCTCTCTCTCCCCCACAGCCCACACACATGCACACAATATAGTTTACATAAGTGTTGTAATGATTATCTTATTTGGTTACATACACTATATATACAAACGTATGTGGACACCCCTTCAAATTAGTGGATTCGGCTATTTCAGCCACACCCGTTGCTGACAGGTGTATAAAATGAGCACACAGCCATGCAATCTCCATAGAGAAACATTGGCAGTAGAATGGCCTTACTGAAGAGCTCAGTGACTTTCAATGTGGCACTGTTATAGGATGCTGCCTTTGCAACAAGTCAGTTTGTCAAATTTCAGCCCTACTAGAGCTGCCCCGGTCAACTTCAAGTGCTGTTATTGTGAAGTGGAAATGTCTAGGAGCAACAACGGCTCAGCCGCAAAGTGGTAGCCCACACAAGCTCACAGAGCGGGATCGTCTGTCCTCGGTTGCAAAACTCACTACCGAGTTCCAAACTGCCTCTGGAAGCAACGTCAGCACAATAACTGTTCTTCAAGAGCTTTATGAAATGGGTTGCCGCCATTGGACTCTGGAGCAGTGGAAACACGTTCTCTGGAGTGATGAATCATGCTTCACCATCTGGCAGTCCAACGGACTATTCTGGGTTTGGTGGATGCCAGGAGAACGCTACCTGCCCGAATGCATAGTGCCAACTGTAAAGTTTGGTGGAGGAGGAATAATGGTCTGGGGATGTTTTCATGGTTCGGGTTAGGCCCCTTAGTTCCAGTGAAGGGAAATCTTAACACTACAGCATACAATGACATTCTAGACAATTCTGTGCTTCCAACTTTGTGGCAACAGTTTGTGGAAGGCCCTTTCCTGTTTCAGCATGACAATGCCCCCGTGCAGAAAGCGAGGTCCATACAGAAATGGTTTGTCGAGATCGGTGTATAAGAACTTGACTGACCTGCACAGAGCCCTGACCTCAACCCCATCAAACACCTTTGGTATGAATTGGAACGCCGACTGCGAGCCAGGCCTAATCGCCCAACATCAGTGCCCGACCTCACTAATGCTCTTGTGGCTGAATGGAAGCAAGTCCCCGCAGCAATGGAAAGCCTTCCCAACATCTAGTGGAAAGCCTTCCCAGAAGAGTGGAGGCTGTTATAGCAGCAAAAAGGGGGGGGGGGGGGGGGGCACTCCATATTAATGCCTATGATTTTGGAATGAGATGTTCGACGAGCAGGTGACCACATACTTTTGGTCATGTAGTGTATGTGTTCACTTTTGTTACTTCTATTACCAATTTGAATAAATACATTTTGCTTTACAGTACTATTTTCCTTATTGTTAAACATTACAGCGTCTCTGTAAATTTACAGCAAGGATGCTGTAATATGTCTTTACAGTAAGGCAAATAGTGCTGTAAAACATATTACAGCATCTCTGCTGTAAAGCAAAATTACAGTATTAAGTTGGCAACTGTGGTGCCAGTATAATGCTGTACATTTACAGGGAAAAGATTTACAGTGTAGTAGACACTTTTTCGGCACAAATGGAACTAACAAGGCTGCTTATCCGTGGTCTGCCCTGCTAATCAATTAGAACCTCTGTACACACACCCGTTTGACATAGATGAGGCTCGAGAAAATCAAAGCTCATTACAAAAACAATACCTCCGTGCTGTCTGTCCAGTGTCTAGTCATACATTAGTCAGATCTATTCAACAGGCCCTGGTTTGTAATGTGGCTTTGATTTCTTTGGCCTCATTTATGCGGCTGGCCGACGGGAAGTGTGTGCGTGCGTGGGTGTGTTTGTGTGTTTGTGTGTGCATGCACCGTGTGTGTGTGTCTGTGTATGTGTGCTCTTCTGTGTGTGTGTGTTTGTGTGTTTGTGTGCACACAGGCCCTAATTGATTAGCAGGCCAATTAAACACAGGAGATAGATGGGGCCTGGCTGGCGATGGAGCAGAGGAGGAGGGTGACAGAATCACAGCTCCTTTTCTCTCCTTCTGAGTGAGAGGACCTAAATCGGATTTGCCGTGGACTGTTAACGTCAATCTAAACATGCACCCAGAAACCATCTCAATCTAAACATGCAACCAGAAACCATCTCAATCTAAACATGCACCCAGAAGCCAGCTCAAGCCAGCTCAATCTAAACATTCACCCAGAAGCCAGCTCAATCTAAACATGCACCCAGAAACCATCTCAATCTAAACATACACCCAGAAGCCAGCTCAAGCCAGCTCAATCTAAACATTCACCCAGATGCCAGCTCAATCTAAACATGCACTCAAAAGCCATCTCAATTTAAACATGCACCCAGAAACCATCTCAATCTAAACATGCACCCAGAAGCCATCTCAATCTAAACATGCACCCAGAAACCATCTCAATCTAAACATGCAACCAGTAACCATCTCAATCTAAACATGCACCCAGAAACCATCTCAATCTAAACATGCACCCAGAAGCCAGCTCAAGCCAGCTCAATCTAAACATTCACCAAGAAGCCAGCTCAATCTAAACATGCACCCAGAAGCCAGCTCAATCTAAACATGCACCCAGAAGCCAGCTCAATCTAAACATGCACCAAGAAGCCAGCTCAATCCAAACATGCACCCAGAAGCCAGCTCAATCTAAACAGGCAACCAGAAGCCAGCTCAATCTAAACAGGCAACCAGAAGCCAGCTCAATCTAAACAGGCAACCAGAAGCCAGCTCAATCTAAACATGCACCCAGAAGCCAGCTCAATCTAAACATGCACCCAGAAGCCAGCTCAATCCTAACATGCACCCAGAAGCCAGCTCAATCCAAACATGCACCCAGAAGCCAGCTCAATCTAAACAGGCAACCAGAAGCCAGCTCAATCTAAACATGCACCCAGAAGCCAGCTCAATCCAAACATGCACCCAGAAGCCAGCTCAATCTAAACATGCAACCAGAAGCCAGCTCAATCTAAACAGGCAACCAGAAGCCAGCTCAATCCAAACATGCACCCAGAAGCCAGCTCAATCTAAACATGCACCCAGAAGCCAGCTCAATCTAAACAGGCAACCAGAAGCCAGCTCAATCCAAACATGCACCCAGAAGCCAGCTCAATCCAAACATGCACCCAGAAGCCAGCTCAATCCAAACATGCACCCAGAAGCCAGCTCAATCTAAACATGCACCCAGAAGCCAGCTCAATCTAAACATGCACCCAGAAGCCAGCTCAATCTAAACATGCACCAAGAAGCCAGCTCAATCCAAACATGCACCCAGAAGCCAGCTCAATCTAAACATGCACCCAGAAGCCAGCTCAATCCAAACATGCACCCAGAAGCCAGCTCAATCTAAACAGGCAACCAGAAGCCAGCTCAATCTAAACAGGCAACCAGAAGCCAGCTCAATCCAAACATGCACCCAGAAGCCAGCTCAATCTAAACAGGCAACCAGAAGCCAGCTCAATCTAAACAGGCAACCAGAAGCCAGCTCAATCTAAACATGCACCCAGAAGCCAGCTCAATCCTAACATGCACCCAGAAGCCAGCTCAATCTAAACATGCACCCGTAAACCAGCTCAATCTAAACGTGCACCCAGAAGCCAGCTGAATCCCTCAGCCAAGATAAAGCAGACAAATCTCACAGAGCAGGAAACCAAGGTGGAAATCAAAAAATGGTCAGAGCTAGGGACAGACTCCTTTTTAATGTGTGTGTGTGTGTGCACACTGCTGTGTGTAGTGTCTGTCTACTGGGAGAGACAGAAAGGATGAACGAGGAGATAAATGTAATAGTGATTAATTTATATTTTAATGGTTATCTTTCTATCGTTAACCTACGTCGCTGTGCAAATGATGCGTCTGTTGGATTAAACAATGGGCTCTGAACATGGCAGGTAGTACATCTCCTGACTGGCTGTGGAGGAAGACACATTGATCAAAGCTTCACGTCCAGACCAGAATCTCTCCAACACTCCTGGGTGAGCACGCACGCACGCACACGCACACGCACACGCACACGCACACGCACACGCACACGCACACGCACACCACACCACACACACACACACACACACACACACACACACACACACACACACACACACACACACACACACACACACACACACACACACACACACACACACACACACACACACACCTGCTGAGCTCCAGGTGATCCATCAGCAGTCCCAGGCCAGTCTGGTTCAGAGAGCATCGTCATTTAACATTTTTATAAATGCCTTCTGCCCAAATGTAAATGATGAGACATTTAAATGTCCTTCACGGAGGCTTAAACCTTTTTCATATGGGCCTCTTCAGGACAAAATGGACATTTCAAAGATGACCGTTCAGATGAAAATAAATCTGGTGGGTTTAATTGTGGCTACAGTATCCTAATTGAAGCCATTATTTGCAAGCATTTGTCACCTTAGGAAAATAGACCATGCTCATTGTATATTACCATTGTTTGTGTGCACTCTTTTAAATACATTCTAAGTGAATCTAGGACAATACAATTAAAGTTGTTTACAAGACATATATCATCGTAGCTAACTCTTGATAATGAACCCTTTTGGCACTGCAGTGTTTGAATATTAAATTCAAGGTGTTTGCGGTTGGACATCGTGCCTCCGAGGGAGCACCAACCTACCTGGCTGTACTGTAGCTGGTGGCAGTATCATTATTCAGAGAACATTGTGTGTAACCTTCACAAATGGCAGCTATCATCCATTTACAATCTCAGGCCCGAAAGGGGGAACGTCCAGAGCAGCTCGACTTGAGCCATTTTAGTGGAACAGAACTGTTGGAGTCACTGAGGCATATAGCGAGCCGCCATCTTGTTAAAGGTCATCTGAAAAAGAAAATTCAACCCATTTTACTTCAAACTATACTGAACAAAAATATGAACGCAACATGCAGCAATTTCAAAGATTTGACTGAGTTACAGTTCATATAAGAAAGTCACTCAATTGAAATATATTAATTAGACCCTAATCTATGGATTTCACATGACTGGGAATAAAGATATGCATCTGTTGGTCACAGATACCTTAAAAAAAAGTAGGGGCGTGGATCAGAAAACCAGTCAGTATCTGGTGTGACCACCATTTGCCTCATGCAGTGCAACACATCTCCTTAATATAGAGTTGATCAGGCTGTTGATTGTGGCCTGTGGAATGTTGTCCCACTCCTCTTCAATGGCTGTGCGAAGTTGCTGGATATTGGCGGGAACTGGAACACACTGTCGTACACGTCGATCCAGAGCATCCCAAACACACTCAATGGGTGACGTGTCTGGTGAGTATGCAGGCCATGTAGGAACTGGGCCATATTCAGCTTCAGATCCTTGCGACATGGGGCTGTGCATTATCATGCTGAAACATGAGGTGATGGCGATGGATGAATGGCACGACAATTGGCCTCAGGATCTCGTCACGGTATCTCTGTGCATTCAAATTGCCATAGATAAAATTCAGTTGTGTTCGTTGTCCGTAGCTTATGCCTGCCCATACCATAACCCCACCGCTACCATAGGGCACTCTGTTCACAAAATGACATCAGCAAACCGCTCGCCACACCATACACGCTGTCTGCCATCTGCCCGGTACAGTTGAAACCGGGATTCATCCGTGAATTGCACACTTCTCCAGCGTGCCAGTGGCCATCGAAGGTGAGCATTTGCCCACTGAATTCGGTTTTACGACGCTGAACTGCAGTCAGGTCAAGACCCTGGTGAGGACGACGAGCACGAGGATGAGCTTCCCTGAGATGGTTTCTGACAGTTTTGCAGAAATAAACCCACAGTTTCATCAGCTGTCCGGGTGGCTGGTCTCAGGCGATCCCGCAGGTGAAGAAGCCAGATGTGGAGGTCCTGGGCTGGCGTGGTTACACGTGGTGTGTGGTTGTGAGGTCGGTTGGGGAGGCGGCTTATGATAGAGAAATTAACATTAATTTATCTGGCAACTGTGCTGGTGGACATTCCGGCAGTCAGCATGCCAATTGCATGCTCCCTCAAAACTCTGAGTTAGAGCGGCCTTTTATTGTCTCCAGCACAAGGTGCACCTGTGTAATGATCATGCTGTTTAATCAGCTTCTTGATATGCCACACCTGTCAGGTGGATGGATTATCTTGGCAAAGGAGAAATGCTCACTAACAGGGAAGTAAACAAATTTGCGCTCAAAATTTGAGAGAAATAAGCTTTTTATGAGTATGGAAAATGTCTGGGATCTTTTATTTTAGCTCATGAAACATGGGACCAACACTTTACATGTTGCGTTTAGATTTTTATTCAGTATATTTCAACATGGAACATATTTCAATATTTCAGTTCAAAGCTCAGTTTTAAACATTTATCACCTATACTCAAATGGGAGAACTTCAACTTTCTGTTACAGAAGTAGAATCATAATTTGATCACCCTGTTGCAGGAGAACTTTCCTGCAGGAGATTGAAAGCTTGTCATGTATTTGAGGTTTAAAAGGCTTCTGAAGTTTGTCATTTCACATTTGAAATTTCAGACTTGATTTTCTCTTACGAAAAATGTATCTACCCCTACAAAAATGTCTATGAATTATAATTCACATAATAATTCACATGTGCTGTTGCTGCAGGATTATTTTCCTGCTGTAGAAAACTGGCTCAAATTAACTGTCTGTGTATTTAGCCTGTGGAATACTGAAAAACACGGACGCCCAGTTTATTTAAAAATGTATTATCTATACTCATGTGGAGAAAATCTTACGGTACCCTGTGTGAATCTGTGTGAATTATAGTACCCTGAATAAAACGACATTGATTTGACTGTGTGTGTATTCAGCCGATGAACTGAATACCAATTTGGGGATGCATCCCAAATATCACCCTACTCCTTATTGGCCCTGGTCAAAAGTAGTGCACTATAAAGGGAATAGTGTGCACTTTGGGAGACAGACTGGGACAGTAAATCAGGTTTGTCAGTCAGCAGGCTGCCGTGGCAACCATGTCTCTCTATTAAGAGGATGTCAGATGCCATGAGAGAGTCCGCCCTTCAGTGAGCCCTGTCCTGGCGTGGTGCAGGAGGAGCACACACACACACACACACACACACACACACACACACACACACACACACACACACACACACACACACACACACACACACACACACACACACACACACACACACACACACACACACACACACACACACACACACACGCGCAGCTCGACATCACCACTCCACACACCTGTGTTAAAATGCAAATGTATTTTTCCTGACCCCACTGCAGTGGACAGGGAGGGACTGTAGCGTTCAAAGTAACCTGCTTTTTCTGCTTTACACAGACAGACAGAAAGACAGGCAACCAGATAACATCAACAGCAGCACAGAGCAGAGCGGCAGCCAGCATTAAAACATCTTATCCCTGCTTGCTTGACTAAATCTCGACCCCTGACTGTGAGTTCTAATAGAGAATGGATGTCCATCTCGTGAGACATTTTATGCCACAGATACCGTTAATAAATAAAATAACATAGTGCCAATAAAATCTGGTGAAATATCTGTCTTCAAAGGACCAGAGATGATGCAGAATGAACATTCCATACAGAGTAGATATAATAGCGAATTTGTCAAGCAGTCCTTCAGATGAAGGGACATGTAGCAGTCTCGTTGGCTTGCTGAGCGCGACAGCAGGAGCAGCCACCTACCATGCAGGAAGAAGAAGAGAGGTGAGGACTTCAGCATCGCAGTGCTTTGAAGAAGTTACTGCAGCAGTTTAGTCTGTACCTTCAGAAAGATTACCATTACACAACAGTACAGCAGTTTAGTCTGTACCTTCAGAAAGATTAGCATTACATAACAGTACAGCAGTTTAGTCTGTACCTTCAGAAAGATTACCATTACACAACAACAGCCTGAGAAGATTGCCCCCCAGAGAGAGCCAAATATAATAGATGTGTGAGTCTAACACTTTAGGAGTCCACTGGGGACGGTACAACAAAGATTACCCTGAAAGAAGTGTGAACATGACATAGATGAGTTATTCAAGAGGAATGAAGAAGTGAATGCAGTTCGAAATACAATTCAAATTATTGCTATTCACAGAGCATTTCAAATTTGTCTTTAAGCAAGTGTCCATTTGATGCACATGCTGATTTCTATTTGGGGGATGCCAGGTATCCATATGCCAGATACAGTACCCACTATTTCTGAAACCCAGATATTGGACAGACTTATATCATCTCCTTGTGCCTTCCTGATGTGTTGACGTTTCAATGGAGCCCAGATCCTTAATTATCCCACTCAAGGCCTTGATTAAAAGTCAGCTTGCCTCTGCCAAGTAGCTGACATGAAAACACTCTGCTTTGTGTCCGCATACAAGGTTATTATTAACTGACTGACCGGTTGGCAGGCAGTCTTGCAACAAAACACAATAAAAAATGATTGCTGCACGCTTACCCTGTGTATTCTGCTGGAGTCCAGAGCAATGTGACTGAACTGCCACCACACTGTGGCGAGCCGTACTGCTAGCAGGCAGGAGGAGAAGCGTATGTGTGTGTGTGCATGCGTGACTATTTGCATGTGTGTGTGTGTACGTGAGTGCCTACGTGCGCACGCGTGTTTGTGTGAGGTTAATAAGGACATCTCCCCTTTCCTCTCCCAGGGAGACAGCTCCTTTCCTCTCCCAGGGAGACAGCTCCTTTCCTCTCCCAGGGAGACTGCTCCTTTCCTCTCCCATGGAGACTGCTCCTTTCCTCTCCCAGGGAGACAGCTCCTTTCCTCTCCCAGGGAGACAGCTCCTTTCCTCTCCCAGGGAGACAGCTCCTTTCCTCTCCCAGGGAGACAGCTCCTTTCCTCTCCCAGGGAGACAGCTCCTTTCCTCTCACATGGAGACTGCTCCTTTCCTCTCCCAGGGAGACAGCTCCTTTCCTCTCCCAGGGAGACAGCTCCTTTCCTCTCCCAGGGAGACAGCTCCTTTCCTCTCCCAGGGAGACCGCTCCGCCACACAGCCAACGAGGAAGCCTCAAGCATGTCCCTGCCACATGCGGTACAGTAATATTTTAGAATGTGATTTCCACACTTAGTATGCTGTTGTCATCTGGCTTTTATTGTTTATTGTTATTAGTATTTATTATGTATTATTATTATTATTTATTTTGTATTATTATTATTATTATGTATTATTATTATTTATTATTATTATGTATTATTTATTATTTATCATTAGTAGTATTCTATCAAGTCAATGAGGCGTGAGATGTCCAGATGCCCTGTCCCTATCTATCCTTGTTCCCTATATAGTGCACTACTTTGGACCAGAGCCCATAGGGCTTTGCTCAAAAGTAGTGCACTATATAGGGAATGGGGTGCTATTTGGGATGCTACCTAGCTCAGTCTTGTCAGTGGGTAGTGCATCATCCATCCAGTATCAGTCCACTCAACCGTTCAGTCAGTGATCTGTTAGTGTCTTGTTTTTATTAATGGGATTGTTGAATTTAAATGTGGATTAATATACTCTTGCTATGATCTCCATTATCAGTGTGTGACCTAATGATTAGTCCCTGGACTGTAGTCAATATCAGACCACCACTGTCATACGTCTGTATAGACATGTTTTATACAGTATATTGGGACACACTGTATAAGCTACAGTTTGTACTCACACACACATGCAAAAACACATGCTCGCAGGCACGCACACACCCATGCACGTCATCATCAATTTGAATAATGCATGCTTGTTATAGTAGCTGCTACACCAAAAGCTAAATAGTTCACTCAAACCCAGTCACATTCTCTCTAACACTTTGATATAATTAATTTGTCCAGCAAAAAAACCAACACATGCTCACCCTCCTTCTTCTTCCTTCCGTCTTCCTTCTCTCGCTTCGACTTCCTTCCATTCCGTTCCTTCCTATCCTCCTTCCTTCCTTCCTTCCTTCCTCCTTCCTTCCTTCCTTCTCCTCTCCTCCTTCCTTCCTTCCTTCCTTCCTTCCCTCCTTCCCTTCCTTCCCTTCCTACCCTTCCTTCCCTCCTCCTTCCTTCCTTCCTTCCTACCTACCTTTCTTCCCTCCCTCCCTCCCCTCCTCCATCCTTCCCTTCCTCCTCCCTCTTCCTCCCTCCCTCCCTCCCTCCCTTCCCTCCCTTCACTCCCTCCCTCCCTCCCTCCCTCCCCTCAGACATCTTTGTCCTGGTACTTGTAAGGATGTAAGGAGACTGTGAGGCTCACATCAGTGGGGAGATGACTCAGAGTCAGACAAGTACATGCACATTCTCTCTCTCTCTTTCTCTCTATTTTTACTATTTTCTACATTGTAGAATAATAGTACAGACATCAAAACTATAAAATAACACATATGGAATCATGTAGTAACCATCAAATGACTGCCTCGCCTGGTTCACCAACTACTTCTCAGATAGAGTTCAGTGTGTCAAATCGGAGGGCCTGTTGTCTGGACCTATGGCAGTCTCTATGGGGGTGCCACAGGGTTCAATTATTGGGCCGACACTTTTCTCCGTGTATATCAATGATGTCGCTCTTGCTGCTGGTGACTCTCAGATCCACCTCTACGCAGACGACACCATTTTGTATACATCTGGCCCTTCATTGGACACTGTGTTAACAAACCTCCAAACGAGCTTCAATGCCATACAACAATCCTTCAGTAGCCTCCAACTGCTCTTAAACACTAGTAAAACTAAATGCATGCTTTTCAATCGAACGCTGCTGGCACCCGCCCACCCGACTAGAATCACCACTCTCGACGGGTCTGACCTAGAGTATGTGGACAACTACAAATACCTAGGTGTCTGGTTAGACTGTAAACTCAACTTCCAGACTCACATAAAGAATCTCCAATCCAAAGTTAAATCTAGAATCGGCTTCCTATTTCGCAACAAAGCCTCCTTCACTCATGCTGCCAAACATGCCCTCGTAAAACTGACTATCCTACCGATCCTTGACTTCGGCGATGTCATTTACAAAATAGCCTCCAACACTCTACTCAGCAAATTGGATGTAGTCTATCACAGTGCCATCCGTTTTGTCTCCAAAGCCCCATACACTACCCACCACTGTGACCTGTACGCTCTTGTTGGCTGGTCCTCACTACATGTTCGTCGTCAAACCCACTGGCTCCAGGCCATCTATAAATCACTGCTAGGCAAATCCCCGCCTTATCTTAGCTCATTGGTCACCATAGCAGCACCCACCCGTAGTCTGCGCTCCAGCAGGTATATCTCACTGGTCATTCCCAAAGCCAACACCTCCTTTGGCCGCCATTCCTTCCAGTTCTCTGCTGCCAATGACTGGAACGAATTGCAAAAAATCTCTGAAGCTGGAAACTCTTATCTCCCTCAATAACTTTAAGCATCAGTTGTCAGAGCACCTTACCGATCACTGCACCTGTACACAGCCCATCTGAAATTAGCCCACCCAACTACCTCATCCCTATATTGTTATTTATTTTGCTCTTTTGCACCCCAGTATCTCTATTTGCACATAATCTCTTGCACATCTAGCATTCCAGTGTTAATACTATTGTAATTATTCTGCACTATAGCCTATTTATTGCCTTACCTCCATAACTTGCTACATTTGCACACACTGTATATATATTTTCTGTTGTATTTCTGACTTTATGTTTTTTACCCCATATGTAACTCTGTGTTGTTTTTATTGCACTACTTTGCTTTATCTTGGCCAGGTCGCAGTTGTAAATGAGAACCTGTTCTCAACTGGCTTACCTGGTTAAATAAAGGTGAAATAAAAAAAAAAAAAAAAAAAAAGTGTTAAACAAATTAAAATATATTTTATGTTTGAGATTCTTCAAAGTAGCCACCCTTTGCTTTGATGACAACTTTGCACACTCTTGGCATACTCTCAACCAGCTTCATGAGGTATTCACCTGGAATGCATTTAAATTAAAAGTTAATTTGTGGAATTTCTTTCCTTCTTAATGCGTTTGAGCCAATCAGTTGTGTTGTGACAAGGTAGTGGTGGTATACAGAAGATAGCCCTATTTGGTAAAAGACCAAGTCCATATTATAGCAAGAACAGCTCAAATAAGCATAGAGAAACGACAGTCCATCATTACTTTAAGACATGAAGGTCAGTCAATACTGAACATTTCAAGAACTTTGAAAGTTTCATCAATTGCAGTCGCAAAAACCATCAAGCGCTATGATGAAACTGGCTCTCATGAGGACCTCCACAGGAATGGAAGACCCAGAGTTACCTCTGCTGCAGAGGATAAGTTCATTAGAGTTACCAGCCTCAGAAATTGCAGCCCAAATAAATGCTTCACAGAGTTCAAGTAACAGACACATCTCAACATCAACTGTTCAGAGAAGACTGTATGAATCAGGCCTTTATGGTTGAATTGCTGCAAAGAAACCACTACTATAGGACACCAATACGAAGAAGAGACTCGCTTTGGCCAAGAAACACGAGAAATTGACATTAGACCGGTGGAAATGTGTCCTTTGGTCTGGAGTCCAAATTGGAGATTTTTGGTTCCAACTGCTGTGTCTTTGTGAGACGCGGTGTTGGTGAACGGATGATCTCCACATGTGTAGTTCCCACCGTAAAGCATGGAGGAGGAGGTGTTATGGTGTGGGGGTGCTTTGCTGGTGACACTGTCTGTGATATATTTTGAATTCAAGGCACACCAGCAAGGCTACCACAGCATTCTGCAGCGATACACCATCCCATCTGGTTTGGGCTTAGTGGGACTATCATTTGTTTTTCAACAGGACAATGACCCAACACACCTCCAGGCTGTGTAAGGGCTATTTTACCAAGAAGGAGAGGGATGGAGTGCTGCCTCAGATGACCTGGCCTCCACAATCCCCTGACCTCAACCATATTGAGACAGTTTGGGATGAGTCGGACCGCAGAGTGAAGGAAAAGCAGCCAACAAGTGCTCAGCATATGTGGGAACTCCTTCAAGACTGTTTGAAAAGCATTCCAGGTGAAGCTGGTTGAGAGAATGCCAAGAGTGTGCAAAGCTGTCATCAAGGCAAAGGGTGGCTATTTGAAGAATCTCAAATATAAAATATATTTTGATTTGTTTAACACTTTTTTGGTTATTACATGATTCAATGTGTTATTTCATAGTTTTGATGTCTTCACTATTATTCTACAATGTAGAAAATAGTAAAAAAATAAAGAAAAACACTTGAATGAGTAGGTGTTCTAAAACATTTGACTGGTAGTGTATGTGTGTGTGATCTGAATGGCTGTGTGTGGGAGTGAGTGTGTGATCTCTGATGATGAGCTAATGATGCCTGTATTTCACAGAGCTGAGTCTCGTCTGCTGAACAGGGTCACCGGGTCGCCACACACCTGACTCCTCCTAAATGGCACTGTCGGGAAGAGACTGATTGGTCTACCTAGTGTGTGTGTGTGTGTGTGTGTATGTTTGTGTGTGTGTGTGTGTGTGTGTGTGTGTGTGTGTGTGCCTGCGTGCCTGCATGCTAGTGTGTGTGTGAGCCTAACATTTAGTTACTCTCCATTGTGAGGTGAGGGGGATGACATTTTACCTTTATAATATAATATAATAACTTTATGTTGTATTTACACAGTAGCCTATTAAAATGTATGTTTAGCAATGGAACCTACAGCGGAGGCTGCTGTTGAAAGCCCTGGATACGTTTTGTAATCCTGTGCTAGCCTTGCACTGGTGTGAGATGTGGCTAAGAGCCAAGCTTGTGTTGTAATTACATGAGGCGTTATCCAGCCTCTGTGTATGGTATGGGAGTCCCCATGGTTTCACCTGTTACTCCCCTGGTAGTACAACAGGCCTCTTCATTCATGTCTGCACGGGAAATACCATCATCAATATCAGAATAATTGATTAATGCTAATATCACGCCATTGCCTTGTCCTGGTCTCTTTGTTATTATACATACAATATCAAGAATCTGTGGCTGAAGCTGTTGTGATGCCTATACTTTGTCATCCATGGGATGGGGGAGAAAGGGGGAGAGAGATGGGAGAGAGATGGGAGAGAGAAGGAAATTGAAACCACTATCTCTGGAAAAGGGGGCATTTTAAGGTCTTGTCTTGTCGGAGAGAGATAGGGGCTGTGTCCCAAATGGCACCCTATTCCTTATATAATGAATTACTTTTGTCCAGGGCCCATAGTGCACTATGTAGAGAATAGGGTGCTATTTGAGATGCAGCAGAGGGTCGGCGGCCGCCCTGCCAAAACCCTGATTGGTCAGGCTGGCTCCATCACTCCTGATATCCCTCCTCACTCCTTACCCCACCAGCCTCTCTCCCACCTTCCTATACCCACCAGCCTCCCTCTCTTTCAAACAAAAAGAGATTCACAGGAGAGATAACATGGGAGTTTGCGCTCTGAAACAAACACAGATCTAGTCATTTCCTCCCTGCGTATTTCCCTCTGTCATCTATCTGAGAGTGTGGAGCTGACATTAGCAAGATCTCTAACAGATCTGGGACCAGGCTAGATTGATATACAGTGAGGGAAAAAAGTATTTGATCCCCTGCTGATTTTGTACGTTTGCCTACTGACAAAGAAATGATCAGTCTATAATTTTAATGGTAGGTTTATTTGAACAGTGAGAGACAGAGTAACAACAACAAAATCCAGAAAAATGCATGTAAATTGTTTTACAATTTGCATTTTAATTAGGGAAATAAGTATTTGACCCCCTCTCAATCAGAAAGATTTCTGGCTCCCAGGTGTCTTTTATACAGGTAACGAGCTGAGATTAGGAGCACACTCTTAAAGGGAGTGCTCCTAATCTTAGCTTGTTACCTGTATAAAAGACACCTGTCCACAGAAGCAATCAATCAATCAGATTCCAAACTCTCCACCATGGCCAAGACCAAAGAGCTTTCCAAGGATGTCAGGGACAAGATTGTAGACCTACACAAGGCTGGAATGGGCTACAAGACCATCACCAAGCAGCTTGGTGAGAAGGTGTCAACAGTTGGTGCGATTATTCGCAAATGGAAGAAACACAAAAGAACTGTCAATCTCCCTCGGCCAGGGGATCCATGCAAGATCTCACCTTGTGGAGTTGCAATGATCATGAGAACGGTGAGGAATCAGCCCAGAACTACACGGGAGGATCTTGTCAATGATCTCAAGGCAGCTGGGACCATCGTCACCAAGAAAACAATTGGTAACACACTACGCCGTGAAGGACTG